AACCCAGGAGGCGGAGGTTGCGGTGAGCCGAGATCGCGCCGTTGCACTCCAGCCTGGGTAACGAGAGCGAAACTCCGCCTCAAAATAAATAAATAAATAAATAAATAAATAAAAATGAAAAAGAAGGCCGGGCGTGGTGGCTCACACCTGTAATCCAAGCACTTTGGAGGCCAAGGTGGGCGGATCACCTGAGGTTGGGAGTTCAAGACCAGCCTGACCAATATGGTGAAACCCCGTCTTAAAAAATAATAATATAAAAAATAAGAGAGGAAAAAGATAGATGATGTCTGACTGTGTTGCTCAGGCTGGTCTTGAACTCTTGCCTCAGGCGAGCCGGATGACAGGCACGAGCCCAGCCTCCCTGGGAGTTATGTCTCAGTCCTGCACCGCAGGCTGAGGCCTCCCTCTGTGTGCACCCCCGACCCCACCCCAGGCGGAGGAAGCCATGGCCACCTACCGCACCTGCGTGGCCGACGCGAAGACGCAGAAGCAGGAGCTGGAGGACACCAAGGTGACCGCGCTGCGGCAGATCCAGGAGGTCATCCGGCAGAGCGACCAGACCATCAAGTCGGTGCGTGGGGGGCTCCGGCCGCCCGGCAGTGATGGCGGACAGGCTGGCCCCCTCCTGACCCCTCCGCTCTCGGGTGCCGCCCACAGGCCACCATCTCCTACTATCAGATGATGCACATGCAGACGGCGCCGCTGCCCGTGCACTTCCAGATGCTGTGTGAGAGCAGCAAGCTGTACGACCCGGGCCAGCAGTATGCCTCGCACGTCCGCCAGCTGCAGCGGGACCAGGAGCCCGACGTCCACTATGACTTTGAGCCGCACGTCTCCGCCAACGCCTGGTACCGCCACCCAGCTGCCCGGTCCCTGGCGCCCACATCCCTGCCTGGGAGTCGGGCTTCCCTCCATCGGGGGCATGAAGATGAAGCTGTCTTGTCCCCCATCTCCACCCCTCCTTCTCCCGGTTTCTCCCACTAGGTCCCCCATCATGCGTGCCCGGAAGAGCAGCTTCAACGTGGGTGATGTGGCGGGGGCCGAGGCTGCCGGCAGCCCCCCAGATGAAGGTGGCTCCATTGAGGGCACACCTGCCAAAGACCACAGGGGTGAGTGGCGGGGCCCAGGTGTGGGGCGGACGCTGGCTCCCTGGGGCCCACTCCGGCCCTTCACCAGAGATGCCTCTTTCTCCAGCCGGCCGAGGACACCAGGTACACAAGTCCTGGCCACTCGCCATCTCAGACTCGGACGCCGGGCTGGACCCCGGCCCTGGCACAGGTGAGGGAGGCACTTGGGCGGCCTGGGGTGTGGAGCTGCCGTCTCTCCTGGGCCTCGGGTTCGTCACGCACCGGGGTGATGGAGGGGGCCCACCGGGCTCAGGGAGTCTGATCGGCACTGATTCCCACCCAGGGGACTTTAAGAAGTTCGAGCGGACATCATCCAGTGGCACCATGTCGTCCACAGAGGAGCTGGTGGACTCGGAGCGGGGACCCGGGGCTTCGGCCTTCGAGCAGGGTGAGGGTCCCCTGACAGGGCCAGGGAGATGGGGGGGTTTGGACACACTCAACGGGCCTGGCCCTGACCTGCCTTGGTGACACGGGCCACCTGTGCTGCCCACAGCTGACCTCAATGGCATGACCCCCGAGCTGCCGGTGGCCGTGCCCAGTGGGCCGTTCCGCCATGACGGGCTGTCCAAGGCAGCCCGAACCCACCGGCTCCGGAAGCTCCGCACGCCCGCCAAGTGCCGTGAGTGTAACAGCTACGTCTACTTCCAGGGTGCGGAGTGTGAGGAGGTGAGTGGGACGTCCCAGCGGACAGCGGGGAGCCTTGGAGGTGCCCGGCACCGCCGGCCTGTGTGCCCTCGGGAAGGTCCCGCCCAGAGCAGGGAGCAGTTAGGAGCCTTTGGGAGGAAGCGAACGGAGGGGGTAGGGTGGGCTCTTTTAGGTTTGGGGGAAGGGTTGGCCCTCTGAGGCATCGACTCAGTAGAGCCAGAGAGTGAAGCGCCCCCAGGGCATCTGGGGATTGCATCACAGGCAGCGGCCATAGCCTGTGCAAAAGGCCCTGGGGCTCAGGCCAGAAAGCCAAGGGTGGGAGGGGAAGGAGAGGAGGCTGGAGTGGCCGGTGGGATCACCCCTGGGGAGGAGGCCGTTTTCCACTGTCTAGCTTGTGTTTGCAGAAGCTGCCGTTTTGGTGGCAGTGAGGGCCCGGGTAGGTGGGTGGAGCCGGGCACCCTGGGGCTACGCTCACTCACCCCGGCCTCCCCCAGTGCTGCCTGGCCTGCCACAAGAAATGCCTGGAGACACTGGCCATACAGTGCGGGCACAAGAAGCTGCAGGGCCGCCTGCAGCTGTTCGGACAGGAATTCAGCCAGGCGGCCCGCAGTGCCCCCGACGGCGTGCCCTTCATCATCAAGAAGTGCGTCTGCGAGATCGAACGGCGGGCGCTGCGCACCAAGGTGAGGCAGGGTGGAGGTGGCTCCCAGCAGGGAGGCGGGCGTGGGCTGAGGCTGATGGGCCCCCCACCCCCGTGCCCTTGCAGGGCATCTACCGGGTCAATGGGGTAAAGACGCGCGTGGAGAAGCTGTGCCAGGCCTTCGAGAACGGCAAGGAGCTGGTGGAGCTGTCGCAGGCTTCACCCCACGACATCAGCAACGTCCTCAAGCTCTACCTGCGCCAGGTGAGACCCACTGGAGGTGGCCTTGCAGAGCGTGGAAGGAGAGTAGCCGGTTGGGAGGAGGTGGGGCGGGGGCCCGGAGCTGCTGCAAAATTGTCTATGCACCGGGCCTGGAGGGGGTGGGCGGGACAGCGCCTGGCGGGGGGCCGAGGCTGGGTGCGTGGTCAGGGCCGGAGCGGGGCGGGACCAGATCTGTGCTGGGGCCCCGGACGGGGACTGGAGCTGGGTGGGCCACGTGGGAGAGGCGTGGCCACGGCAGGAGCACATCTGACTGACGTTGTGCTGGGGCGGGGCCAGAGGTTGGTGGGGCGTGGCTAGAGCAGGATGGCCATGTTCAGTGCTTGGCAGGGACCCCGAGGAGGGTAGGGGCCGGGCTGAGGCTAGGCAGATGCAGGGCTGGGGGTGGGGCCTGGGCCTAAGGGGGCGTGGCTGGGTCAGGGTGTGATCAGGTCTTGGCAGGGGCGGGGCTGGGGCTAGGGGAGTGGGCACGACCTGTTAAGGGTGGGGAAGGGGCGTGGTCATGGGTGAGGAGGGCGGGGCTGGGGCTGGGGGCGTGGTCATTGCGGAGAGGATGGGGGCTAGGGGCGTGGTCATAGCCACGGAAGGACAGGGGCTGGTATTGGGGGAGTGGTCATAGGTAGAAAAGGGCGGAGCTGGTCTTGGGCGTGGTTATGGGTGGGGCTGGGAGGGGGTTGGTCATAGCCACGGAGGGACAGGGGCTGGTATTGGGGGAGTGGTTATAGGTGGGAAAGGGCGGAGCTGGTCTGGGGGCGTGGTTGTGGGCGGGGCGTGGTCATGGCC